TACAAACAAATGAAAAGATGCTTAACTCCATCATTAATCTGGGAAACGCAAATTTAAAAGATAATAGCATCCCATTTCATACTAAAAAATACCAAATGCTAGCAAGAAAGTAGAATAACCAGAATTCTATATACTACTAGTGGGAAAGTATTAAATAAAGCTGTAGCTATGCATACCCTAGGAGCTAGAATTCCACGCTTCATGCATGTGTCCTAAAGCAAATTTACACATGTATGCCAGGAGCCACATACAAGAAGTGCACAGATGCACTGTTCATAGAAACAGAAACCTGGAACCAATCTAAATGTCCAACAGAAGGATGGGCAAATAAATCATGATGTGTGATAACAATGGAGAAATTGAAGACATTTTTGTATAATGGCAGACCACGTATACAATGGTGGTCCCATAAGATTAGAACCATACAGCCTAGGTGTGTAATAGGCTATACCGTGTAGGTTTGTGTAAGTACACTCTGTGATGTTCACACAACAATGAAATCACCTAAGGATGCATTTCTCAGAATGTATCCCCATCTTTAAGCAATGCATGACTGTACAGCTATGTGCTACAGTATGGGTGCATTTCAGAAACATAATGTTGAGGCAAGTCACTAAAGAATACATAAGTGGAATTTTGCTGTGTGTATATCTCAAAAACAAGCAATAGTAAACAACATATTGTTTAAGGAGGCAGTCATATCATAAAGGAAAGCAGGGAAACAAGAAACAAAATTCATAATAGTAGGTACTCTTGAGAGAAGGAATGAATGGGATTAGGAAGAGGAGCTCAGGGCCTTAGAGAGGTAAGAATTTTTTTTTCTTCTTGAAAAGGAATAGTGAATCTACAGGGCATATTGTGTTGTTATTCTTTATACCATATTTATATTTTTAGAAATATTCTTTGCACCAATTCTAGAAATTGAATGACTTGGAATAAAATTTTAAAATGTTTTAAATCAAAAACCCTGGCAGTATTCTGCCAGATTAGAATAGCAGCTGCCCCCTGTAGAGAGCATCTCCATCACTTGCAGTATATTATTGTGTAGAGACTGTTATTTTCCTTACAGCTTTCTTACGGGTCACTATTTACATCACCTATCTAGTCTTTTTTTTTTTTTTTAAGATTGGCACCTGAGCTAACAACTGTTGCCAATCTTCTTTTTTTTTCTTCTACTTTTTCTCCCCGAGTCCCTCCAGTACATAGTTGTATATTGTAGTTGTGGGTCCTTCTTGTGTGGCATGTGGGATGCTGCCTCAGCGTGGCCTGTTGAGCGGTGCCATGTCCGCGCCCAGGATCTGAACCACAAAACCCTGGGCCACCAAAGTGGGGTGTGTGAACTTAACCACTCGCCCATGGAGCCACCCTATCCTATCTAGTCTTTATGAGCACCTGAGATTATGACCTTTGCTTTAGAGAGTGGTTCTCAAAGTGCGGTCCCCGATCCAGCAGCATGAGCATCATCTGGTAACTTGTCACAAGTACAAGTCTTCAGGCACTGCCCTAGACATACTGTATCAGACTCTGGGCGTGAAGCCCAGCAATCTGTGCTTTAACAAGCCTGCCAGGGGATTCTGATGATGTCATTTGAGAACCAGTGTTCTTGAGGACGTGACCCAGCCTATGGACCTCCCCCTTCCTGGCCATTCTTCCATTCTGAGTCTCTTCCGTCCTCCCAGAGGAGAGTTGCACTTTCTCCTAATGGAAGCAGCGTTCATTTCCAAGAGTCGACAGGACCTTTAATTCCCCCCCATCAGGAGGAAGCCTTCTTCCATTTTTCCTTGCTCAAAGTGATTTAAGCCATCGTGTTGTTATTGGTAATCTATGGCAAGAAATTGACCGACATCACTTCAAGATTTCCTTGTCTGCTCTCTGCAGGCCCCTCAGGACTCTTGTAAGAGCTTTCTACACAGTGGACACGTGAACAAACTGTTAAATCTTCCCACCACCAACGGACATTAAGATAGTCTCTGAAACAGAAAGCCCATTCCCTTTTTGTATCTGCTTCCAAGAAATTGTCACTTCTACCTTATTGGAGCCATTCACAATAGGAGACAGTTTCACTGTAGCTCCCTTTCTCAGCACCTGGTACTTCCAAGGCTGGGGGTGGTGTGGAGGATGTTGGCAGTAGTCATTTCTGAGTCTCTTCTCTGGCCTTAGAGGCCTCCTACTGATCTCAGAGCCCATAGGAGGTAAGTGAGAGTAAAGGAAATTCTAATGCCTGTCTGAAATGTCAACCCTTCATCTGATAAAGTTCTCCAAGTTCCATATATTTTTTCTACGTCAAGCTCTTCTCCCCCCAACTATCTTTTTGTATGAATCATTCACTTTGAATGTTACATACAAAATATGAACACATTCACCATATCCTGAATTTGATGTCACTGATGTCGACTGCTTAAATAATTTATGAGAAATATTGTATACTGGGAAGTATGTACCACTGAGCCATGTGTAGTACTATCACCTTACCCTTATTTACAGAGACTGGTTTGGGAAATACAATTGCTAATTCCAGGAAGAAAGAGGTGGCATTTAATTACGAAGAATGGTATGAACATGTGATAGACAGGAAAGAAGCCCAGTTTTTTTGGAAGTGATATGGTAGAGTGGACAATATACTGGCTCTGGTGTCCGCTACATTTGGGTTTGAATCTTGGCTCTGCCCTTTTGCTGGGTGTACAACACTGAGCAAGTCACTTAGCCTTAGTTTTCTTGTTTGTACCCTTAGGACAAAGGAGTACCAAATTCATTGGACTTTTTGAGGATTAAATGGGGTAACACATGTAAAGGGCTTTGCACAGTGTCCATCACCTTGTAGGTGCTCAGTTAAACATAACTGATGTTTGTGGCAAGAAATAAGGCTAAGAAAATAGGTCAGACCAAGTTCTGAATGGCTGAATACCCTCAGGAGTTCAGATATTTTCTAAGGAACTTGTGTAGTTTTTGATAAGAGAAGTGACCTATTCAAAACTTACTTTAGGAAGAAATATTTTTCTGTGAAGTACATTGGAAGAAAGGAAAAATTAGAGACAAAACTTGTGAGGCAGTTACAATGGTCCAAGTTAGAGGTGACCTAGTAGACTGAGTAGGGAGAAGTTGTGAGTTCAAGCTGAGCTCACTGATGAAACAAGGGAGAGAAGAAGGGGAAAGCGAGAAGATGGCACGAGAACTCTCACCTGGGAGAGGTGGATGACAGCAGCGCCACTGAAAAGAGGATGAACAAAGTTGGAGTTGAGCGGGCAATATTATCAGGAGGGAAACTTATGCCAGAAGAGGAAAGACATCAATATTAGTGAAAACTTATGCAAATGAAGTAAATCAAAATTCCAGACGGAACCACACCTGGCTCAGCACCAACTTGGTGAGGGTCTTGTGAGGAGGAGAAGGAAGGGATGGGGGATTTTTCCTACACATGAAGAAGTGAAGTCAGAATGGAAAGAATGAGTTAGATCGATACAAGCCAATCCTTTCCTGCATACTATAGACCTATTATTTCTCTTTATGACCCCAGATGAGTCATTGTAGGTGGAATACAAAAATCAGTGGAGATGACTACTGCCTGGAAGCAAACCTCAGGAACTCAGACCTGGGAAGTATGGAAGAGCCCTCTCTTGGCTCCTGTGGAATCTGTCTTGGGATCACTCAGTGGTGGCATCTCGCTGGTCATCTTGCTCTTCCTGCCACACTTACTGAGGTCCACAGGGTGTGCCCTACCCGTAGGGGGTGGTGGAAGCAGAACAGGGAGTCAGCATTTGGCAGAGAAGATCATGTTCCTTTTTTCACATCTTCAAAGTGTCTGAAAGTTAAGAACGTAGAAATAAAACACAGGAAACTCGTCTGAATCAACATGGTTTGAGAGCATTGCTGAGGCTTATGCTTCCTAAGTTGGACTACTTTCTTTGTAACAGAGAAGAGGATCTTCATTCATTTCTATTTGGTAATAATTATTAAAATCTAGGATATTCAGGAGTGGTTGTTTTAGTTAATATTTTTCACATGAAATGAGTTAGGCAAAAATCTTTCTATGGATTTTGCCATATCCATTTTCTGTCTTTTGCCATAATAATTAGCATAGAGTTTGGCTGATTCTCCTCCTCTGAATTTACTCCTTAACTTACATACAATAAAATTCGCTCTTTGGAGGGTACAATTATGCGTGTTTTTACAAACACATACAGGCATGTTACCACCACTACAATCAAGATACAGAACAATTCTATCACTGAAAAAGCATTTTCTCATGCTGTTCCTTTGTAGTCACATCACGTCCCCTCTCTAACCCCTGGCACAGTGATTTGTTCTGAATCTTTCTTTTTAAAACTGCTTATTTGAGTAAGGCCTGAGATTTCTTTATGATTTGCGGGTATAATAACAATAGTAACAGCAGTAATAGTAATAGTTAATATGTTTTATACATTTTCAATGTGCCAGGCACCATTTAAAGCACTTTATATATGAGGAAACTGAGGCTTTGAGAAATTTTGGAAAGGAGAGGAGAGAAGAAAGACTTTCCCAAGGTCATATAGTGGCAACCCCATGGCTTGAGTCAGGCATGTGTAACACCCAGGTCTATTTTCTTAACTTCTGTCTGATTCTGCTTCCATGGAAGACACAGAAAGCAGGACAAAGTAGAAGGAATACCTAACAATTTCAGTAAGCTCAGTTCAGACCTGGGATTGCCTTACTCTAAAAACAAACAGAACTTACGTAAAAATTTGGTTAATTATACCAATGAAGCAGTTATTGACTGGGCATAAGGTAAAATGAAGCCAGGGTCTTAGAATACCTTTCTTACAACCTTTGTGAGATGCAATGAAGATGAAGCCCAGATATGTTATGTTCTCCCTCATAAACTTGACCAGATTTGTAAAGCAAATCTAGAGAAATTTCCTGATCAAATACTGAAATGCCATTTCAATGCTCTGCACATCAACTTCCTCTTCAGTTTACCAAAAAAGTGAAATAGATCTTTAATCTCAGTCTTCTGTATATTTCAGGTTGGAGTCCCCGACCCGGTCTCTGGTAATGGAGGCCCCAAAAGGAGTAGAAATAAATGCAGAAGCCGGCAATATGGAAGCCACCTGCAGAACAGAGCTGAGATTGGAGTCCAAAGATGGAGAGGTACGGAGTGAGAAGAGATAGAACTCCAACAGGCCAAACTTTCCCAAAACTGAGCTGCTACACCCTTTGCCACTGAAGTTCATCCTACACTGAAACAACAAAAAGAGCCAATCAGAAGGTTTTATTTCTGGAACAAATGTGTTGAATAGCACAATTATAAGCCAAACTCACAACACATAAAAGTTACGACTCATTATTTGTAAAGTGCTGAGATAATAGTATGTATTGCAGCACAGAATTATACATACAGCTGAAAATGGATGCTATTTCCAAATTCTTTCTCTTGTCACCTTAAACTAAGATTTAGGTAGCCAGCATAATTAAGCTGTAACATTATGTACATCTGGCTAAAGATGAACTTAATTGACTTGTAGTCATTTTTAAAGTTTACATCATATGTTTCTACTTTCGTTGACAATGGAGACTCAGATCTAACTGCTATCCCAAATCAGAACAAGCCAAAACCTAAATATAGCTGCTTGTGTTTTTGCAACAAGGTAAGCCAAATCCCCAAAGAAAATACGACTCAACAGCAAACTTTTTAAAATGCCTTCATCGTGTTCAGAAGTAATTTTTTCTGTTTAAGAATTTTAAGAAGAGGAAAACTATTTTTAAAGCAAAACTCTATCCCCCCTTTCATATCTACTTAGAGCTGTACTAAGTACTAGTACTTAGAGTATCAGTCTCCACCTGCATCTGTACACCAAGCCTGCCTTTTGATTGGTTTGGCATTTGCTCCATGTGTTTTAAAAGAGCTAGTCAGATAGAGCATTCAGTTATCAAAACAGTCTCTTACGACAGCCACAAACTCCAAGCCACATGCATTTGGAAATAGTGACTACATTACAAATGTGCTTTATAGCCATCAGAATCCAGACTCTGGAGGAATAGGTTATAATCATAACAGTCACTTAAGACTGGAAAGTGCTGCATATTCTTGAAGACTTGCCATGCACACAAACATATTTGTGTTCTGAGAAGTCCCATAGTAAAGAAAATTGTTAGCCTAGCATTTCCAAATTGAGTTCACTCTAGGAATCTCTTAACATTCTACAAGATATACTTTTGCAAAATGCTAACATAGGCCAGTGCAAAATTGTCTTACTAGAGTAAAAGCTTCTGTGAGGGTAGAGACTTTATCTGTCTGTTTATCACCCAGCTCCTGCTATCCAAATTTCTGGAACCCAGAATACTCAACTCGCAGTGGGTGCTCATTCAATTTAAGTTGAATTGAACATTCATCTACTGTTTCTCAATGTCCAGAGAATAAATGACAGCCTCTGACTCTTTCCTTCCTGTTCACTCTCTTTAGATTAAGTTAGATGCTGCGAAAATCAAACTACCTAGACTGCCTCATGGATCCTACACGCCCACAGGAACGAGGCAGAAAGTCTTCGAGATCTGCGTCTGCGCCAATGGGAGATTATTCCTGTCTCAGGCAGGAACTGGTTCCACTTGTCAGATAAACACAAGTGTCTGCCTTTGAGAGACTATCCATAGTGGACATTGTTGGTAGCATAAAGGCCTTTTTTGGCTTTACACACTGGCTGCCAGCTATTTTTACTAGAACACAGAAAGCCTATCAAAGACCTTGTGTGTGTGTGTGTGTGTGTGGGCGTGTGCGCGCATGTGTGAGTATGTTTGCGTGTGTGAGTGGATATAAATATATATAAATATATATAAATAAATATATATATCCTCTGTATAAAATGAGGTTTCAGTACAAAAGGAACCATGGGTGACCCTGTGATATTCACTGTCATTTCCATCCCCAACCCACCACCTACATGATCAAATCCAAACACTAATTTAGGCCCAATATTCCCCAGACCCTTCAAAATCACACAGTGTGTTAGACACTTACTAATATCCACCTACATGTTTGAGTAACAGCATACCTTCTCCTTTAGTGTCCTTACAAGGCAGTGATGGCGGGAATCTCCAAGTCACGCTCAAACGCTGAGAACTTTGTATTAAAAAATAGACATTTGGTTTCCTTTTTTAGCTTTAGTAAGGCTGGCCAACTTCTTCCTCTTCAAGTTAAAGATGGGCAATACCATAGAAGTCAACCATAGGAACTGAAAATTGCTGTTCTACCTTTGCAGCCAAATGTATCGGGGCTTTTGTAGCTGGATGAAAGAGGAGGATGTATTTTAGCAAAGTTTGAGCTGCTCACCCAGCTCCTGCTATCTTGCTTCCTTCAAACTCACATATCATCCCTCAGTCAAAATAAGAGTTGTAAATCAGCACAAAATAGGATAACAGCTGCTCCTCAGTCAGCTGGAAGCTACTCAACGGCCTGACAGGCAAAGAATAAATGGGCAATATGTCTCTGTTTAAAGGAAGAAATGGCTCAAAATCTGTTGTGTCCTCACTTCTGACTTTATCCAACAGACTCTAACCCAAAATGATCAAGTCAATCAAAATCCTTAAGAGTGAAACTCCTACCCCAAGAGAAGCCATTTGGAGATGGAAATCTAATTAAGAGTGGCATAGGGAACCTAATTATTTTTTATGTGTTTCTTGGGATTGGTAGGTAATTTAGAGACATGCCTTTTATTTTTAAAGGCGTGCATAAACTCTCTGGTGTCAATCTTCTTATATATTTTTTCAGTGTTGGGATATTCATATTTCTAAATCCACGATTATGTTTTCTCCAAGAATAGTGACCCAAGAGTCACAGATCTAAAGTATTATACACCTCTAGAAATGATCACTGAAAATTAATATAAACTGAGTCAAGTATCTTTAACAGAATCACTGTGTTCCCCAGGGCCCAGCAACACCCTCTCCCCCATGTGTGGAAGCAGCTCCCAAATTCCCGCCATCAGCTACCTCTCATCACTCCACCTTCATCATCATGTTCCAGGGTCACCCTGGCCAGCTCTTGTGCTGGAACAGGGGATTATACCATCTCTGTTCAAAGAGGGGGAAATGTGCCTATGCCTTAAGTCAATGCACTCAGCAAGGAGAAGCACATCCTATTTATCTTGTTGTTACCTGTAGTTTATTTTGGGTGATTGGAGGGGAATGGTCTAGCAATGACTTGGCATCATAAAAGCTGGTAGACAAACCAAGTGGCTGACAGACATGGACTCTAAGGAGCCTAGAATGAAGACATAACTGGCTTAGACAGTCCTGGATGCCATTTGGCAAGCAGTGACCCCACAATCCTAAGTGAAGCAGTATTTGTAGGCCTGAATGGCATTTGTTTTTCCTCAACAAAGTTCTCATTTTCTTACTTCACAAGCAGGGGAAGATTTGTCATAGGAGATGAATAAGAGGTGTGGTATCTTTGAGCTAACACTCAATCATCAGGCTGAGGTTTATATAGATGGGACGTAAAAGTGAGCTATATGTTGCTTAGTCACTTAGAAGTGGGGAGAGGCAGAGTTGTTCTAGCCTGACCAGCAGCTCTGCTGGCTTCCAGACCTGAGGCACCCTCCAGTCAATTCTTTCTCAAAATCCCAGAGAAGAATTGGGTTGTTCAAGGGCAAGACCATAAGATTGCTTAGTTTGCAGCTTTAGGGTCTGAAAAGGAAAACCATAAAAAGATACCAAGTTGCTCTGGATCAGTATTATTTATGTCCTATGGAATCATGCTGCCAGAATCTGCATGCACCCCGCACAGGGTTTTGCCAAGCCAGGAAGGGCCCTCCTTGGCTACTGGGAGCATCTATCACATATCATTCAGATAAACAGTAGTAGCTGTGAAGTCCTTTGTGGCTAAATACCCTAAGACAAAGTTTCTTTAAGCAGACAGACCATCTTTGCACTTTGCCATCTCAAGTACATAATCCACAGGTGACAAGAAAATGAAAGTTTCCCTGAACCTCTTTCCTCTGATTTTGTTCTAATCGTTACATGAAAGTCTGCGATCAGCACCTTGGGAATTTTACACCAATAAAAAAGACTGGTATGATCCCAGTTGCAAAATTTAATCCTAAAGGTAATCAGATCACAAATAGAATAAAAATCATAATAGCAACCAAGAAAAGAAATCAAGCACCTATGGGGGACAAACATGATATAAAATTCTGATTTTCATTTGTGCTAAGTGACCACAATATACCAGGTAATAAGCAGAAAATTTGGCATGAATTAAATTATGTATTTGAGTTCAAACTTTAGAATTCGGTAAAATGTATTCTGAGTTCTTCAATGTACTTTTTCCCCCCAACTTCTTCCAACTAGAATATTTGTCCATGGTCATAAGAGAAAGTTTTACCTGAATTCTGGAAAAAATATCTTTTACATTAAAATCTGATAACCTTTAATTTAAAAAAAAGATTCTTTCTAATCTTTATATATAATATCTTCTAGGCAATCACACCTTTTGGTATATTAAGCAGTGGGTGGCGTACCAAACAGAGATCAAATGAATCTTCACTATTCTAGGAGTTCTAATATGTTAATATTCTTCAGAAGAGTTTGGTAAATTAAAAATTGATCTCCAAATATGTTTAGCACTTAGTTCTATTTGATATCTGCTCAATAAGTCAGAACAGTTCAGTCCTGTAAAACTACTGGATCATGAAGGAGGTTTTGAAAAACCCTTACGGTGGCATCTATCTAGCTGGAAACTTGATATGAGGCTTTTTAATTGTTATACTGCCCAGGGGGTAGATCTTATACACTTGAATTGACTTTTAACTTCCTTTAGGTCAGTTTTCCTTTGGATGATTTTCATTGTCTACCCAGCAATCCTAGACCAAAGACTGCTTGAGGTTTGGCTCTAGAGCAGGGGTCAGCAAACACTGGTCCCTAGACCAAATCTGGCTCGTTATCTGTTTTAGTAAATAAAGTCTTTTGTAACACAGCCACATCCTTTCACTTACATGTTGTGTATTGCTGATTGCATACTGTAACAGCAAGGTGGAGTAGCTGTGCCAGAGACCTCACAGTCCGCAAAGCATAAATACCTTCTCTTTGGCCCTTTGCAGAACAAGTTTGCCGACCCCTGACGAAGAGGTCACAGCAGGAAAGAAAGCAAACTTCACGATAGCATGGAGTAAGCCTCCATCTCCATGTGTGCTTGAGATATTAATACTTGGCTATAGAAAAGAAGGTCAGCCTTACACTACATGTAAAAGAGATCCACTTGTCCAAGAAATGCAGGCTCACAGGATTCTTGGGAATAGGGAGGACCAAATTAGGGGGAGGTTTAGTGCAAAAGGAAAGCTGTGATCCTCCGAGAGATTTTTCTTAGGATCCTTAACAGACAGGTGGTTCCTCCATTCAGCATCATTGTATGACAAGAAGTGAAGCAGCGGTCCTTTGATTTAAATTTAGAATCTTTTTCCTAAAGAGACTATTTCTGCAATCCCTACTCAGAGGTTTCCACCTCACCTTCCCATATTCCAGAAAGATGCCCATGGTCCTCCAGAGAGTATTTTTGACTTACCTGTGTTTTTGGCATCCATCACCTCAGTTATTCACAGCTCCATTGTACTTAACTTCCTACGACCACACCAGGCCTGACAGTTGATGGCATCAATAAATAATTAGAAATGTTGACAGAAGCATCTTAAAGTAGGTAGACAAAAAATATATAAAATTCTTTCATGAAGCTGTTGCTGGGAGAAACCAGGTTAATGCCAGTCTGATGTGGTTTCCAAAGATCTGGATCTTTGTTCCCTGGTGTACAGGGAGTGCAAAAAAAGATCTATTTTGAATTCACATGTCTCTGCCTCTTTGTGGTAAGGCAGGTTCCTACCAGAGATTTGTCCCTTCTGTAGACATATTTTATACTCATATTCAATACTGTTAAAATAGCATCAGTTATGAATGATTCTTTATGAGAATTCGTGTTGGGAAGGAAGGGTTTTTTTGGGTTTTTTTTAAGGAAGATTAGCCCTGAGCTAACATCTGCCACCAATCCTCCTCTTTTTGCTGAGGAAGAGTGGCCCTGAGCTAACATCCATGCTCATCTTCCTCTATTTTATATGTGGGACACCTGCCACAGCATGGCTTGACAACCAGTGCATAGGTCCACACCGGGATCTGAACCAGAGAACCTCTGGGCCGCCAAAGCAGAATGTGCAAACTTAACTGCTGCGCCATCCGGCACCTCAAAGTTTTTTTTTTAATGAAAATCACCTGACCCTGATGAACAGCACTTAAAGGAATCCTTCAGCATTTTATCTGGATTCAACCAAAAGAGGATTAAATTGGCAACACTGCCCTTCACAGGAGCAACTAGATGAGAATATTTTGCTTTTGTTTATTTTAGGCAAAAGGTAGTGTGATGTTTGGACCAAAGAGGTAAATAGATCCATTTAAGCACCTGATTCTTATTTTTTAAGATTCTGTGAAAAGGTGAAAATCTCATTCAAGATAGTTGTAAACCGGACCCATTTCCTCTGTCTCCCCTCCACCAGGAAATCTTAGCCAAGAAAAGGATAAGGAAGCAGTTCCTGAAATGATACATTTGCATGGTGCCCCAGTAGCAGGTGGGGAAAAAAGTTATAATAAAAGAAACAACCTTAGAAAACAGGCCTTTTATCTCAAAGATAAAATGTCTCTCTTTTGGTCTTTCATCACTTTCTCCTTGGTGGAAGTTTCCCCCAGTTCCGACGTATTTCCATTAAAATAGTCAAAGCTACTGCATTGGGATGTCAGATGCATCTCTTTCTTTGTGGTAATCGGAATTTAAAATTATACAGTTGCCTCTGAATTTCTCATTCACAAAGCTAAAGCACTGATAAGAGAGAAAGGAGTCTAAAGCCAGCTGGTTCAGCCAGCACAGCACACCACACGCATTAGCACTTTCAAAAGCAATGTGATTTCTATGGTTCTTAAAAGCTTTCTTCATAACGGAGTCCTTGAAATTTCTCAAGGCAGGTCTGAATGACAAGGGAAAAATAATTATTTGTGGGAGGTCCTTGGTTTAAGTATTGTTAGAGCACAAGGTAAAAGAAAATACCCCATCGGGGTTACACATCCTCCCATATGCTATTTTCTTTGGTTTTACCCCCCACCTTCCTTTTATAGATACTGACAGAGTAGAAAATTAGCATCTTCCTTTGAGAAAAAGACAGCCATTCAAGTATGCATGAGCCCTTGGTGCAATAGGATGTGTGATGTCATAACAGTATTAATGATGTTATCAAATCCATCAATAAACAGTCTCAAACATACAATGCTAACTGCTACTCCTCAACTTTGGCCCAGCAAGTGGGTGATATTAGTTCCACTTCCCTGAGGTTTGCAATTGGAATAGAACAGAAGAAAAGTTGCTATAGGCAAGAAGTATTTTTCATGTCCAAATCCACCTGTCATAATAGGCAGACAGAGTAGTTCCAAAATGCCTCCTTAGGCGTGTAGACACCCTCACTAGTGAGGAGATTTGCTTCATCACTGAACATTAGCTAAGGTCGGATGAAACAAGCATGAGACTGTCCTCCTTAGGAGAAGAGAGGAGGAAACATCTGTCTTACCTAAAATCTACTCTGCACTCCTAAAGCTTTCTAACAGTCCATCTTCTTCCAGTGTCTTGACGGGCTACTTCTACATTTGGGTTATTTTGGTGGAATCAGAGATAGCTCAGATTTCATAAAGTGAGAAATTCCAAGGTGATCAATAGGATACATAGGAGCAGTATGGCAAAGGATTGTCTGAAGGCGGGCAGAGGATATTTGCTGACAATGAAGATTTGGTGTTTCATTAGTCTCCATTTGCATCTAATTCAGGAGGTTCAAACATTTTGAGGATCATAGATTCCTTCAAGAATCTGAGCAAAGTTCTGACCTTTCTCCCCAAAAAGAATCACACCCTCAAAATTTTACATAAATCCAAGAAGTTTTCTTGGACCTAAAGCCTACTCTAAGATATGGCAAGAGTTGAATTCTACTCTCCAATTATAATAATTTTTTATTAAGCACTTACCATGTGCTAGGTTCTGGGTAAGCGTTTTACATACATTCACTTGTTTCATTCTCAAAATAATCTTTTGAGTTAGGTTCTATCATAGTTTGAATTTGCAGATGTGGAAACTGAGGCTCAGAGAGGTTAAAAAACTTGCCCAAAGCCACTAGTTAGAAAATGGCAGAGCTGGAACGTGTATCTAACTCCAGACCACTAGGCTATGAAGTCACCAACATGTCAAACTATTCTTCAAGCTGTTGAGAAGTGTCTCCTACCAGTTTTTAGACTAGACCTTCTTGTGTGTATGAGGCTAGAGAACTTTTATCTCCCTTTTTCTGTAGTCCCTAACCTGTGACAGCATCTAGTACTAAAGTAAAGATACGTGGGGTGAAAATATAGAAGTCTGTCTGAATGAGAGAATCTGGAACCAAAACAATTTATTTGCTCTGTGGGTAATTCTTAAGCCAGGCTTCTTGTCCTTATAAGATGGAAGACACCTGTGTTGTCAGCTTTACATGTAAGAGAAAATTTTAATAGGCAGTGATCACGTCAGCACTTCTGCACACACACGTCTCCTTCCACTATTCCTTACTTGAAAAGACAAACGTCTTATTTTAGGTGAGGTCTTCAACACCAACTGGTTATCATACTTCCTTACCTTTACTTGTGGCAAAACTCAAGGAAAGAATCAAACAGAAGAGAGCTCAACCTCTATCATTGTCCTTGCTTCCCTATAGGAAGATAGGACTAGCAAGGACTCAATTAGCATTAGGCATTCAATACTCAAGCTGGCTACTTTGGCTGTGATAATGGCTTGAGCCCCACACCACATACCTTGTCAGTCATCACTAATGGGCCATACCTTGCACCACATGCAGAATTCTTCTCCCCAAAGCACTCAGGTCATCAATACCAATTGATCTGAGTTGGAAATGGGACCCATTTGCCAATTCTTGTTTAAACAGTGGCACCCTTTAACCTTGAACGTGGACATTTTATACTGGTGTCCTAGATTCAGCAATGAGGTTGGTGGCATTCCAACTACTAAAGGAGAAGATGAGTGCATCTGAAGTTCCTTACAACCTGGTGGCTTTGGAGCACTTTTATCTTCTGAGCAAAGGGATGAGGGTTTGATCTGCAAGAGTTAAAAGACCTAAAATCATTTTGAAGAATTAACTCAGCCAAGGACCATCTGAAAAGGTTATAAACCAGTATGCCTGTGTTAAGGTCCTGCTGTCAACCTGCCCGCAACCCAGAGCTGAGAGACCACAGCAGCAAAGAGATTGGGGTTCATCCTGCATTTCTGTGCTTTCTCAACAGCACATATCTGATCCACTAGGGGGTTGTAGACAGAGCTTCTCACTGCTCCCAACAGACTCAGCTCCAGTGCCAGCCAGGGGCTATAGTGCTCCATCCTGTAGTGTTTGTCTGGCTCAACCTCCCCATAAAACCTTCATAAAGGGGTGAGATAAAAAATGTCAATTATTCTGTTTTAGGGTAAGTCATTCAGGGATTTTCTTTTAAGAGTGTATGTGTCCCAGTGGCAAATCATAAATGGATACCTTTAAAGGGTCTCATGGAACTAACATCTCCAGAGCCAGAAGTCAGCTTCCCTGGTACAGAGGGGAGATCCTAGCAAAGTAAAGGGAAGAGTCGGCAAAGCTTAAGTTGGGGTGGACACAAAGTTGATCCAGTGTTTTGGTGAGGGGGGAAATGGAGTTTTCCATATATCAGCCACCTCCCCAGTCAAGCTTCTCCCTTTTTGAGGCCATGAAGAAGCAGAAACACACCTCTTAAGGAGGTCGTGTTTTAGAAGGAAAAGCAGAAGACATCCATCATTGTGCTGGCTAGATGCGCTCCTGGAGAAGCCAGGTTCTGGTGCTTTTAACAGAAAAGATGAAGTCATAGAAGTCCCATTTACTTGGAGATTTTGAAGAAGGAACCCCATTCCCATAAACCAATTGAGTTCAGCCTTTGGGTTATTTTTGGTTTGGTTTTGTTTTTCTCCAGGTTTGGGTGTGATGTAAGAAGAGCTTTTTAGTTTTGTTTTGTTTTGAATAACATCAATCCTTGCACACTCTATGCAAAAATTTTGTAAGCATTGCAATAATGCTATGAATTACAAGGAACTATTTTAACTTTATTACACTTTCTGTATAAAAAAATTTGTATTTAATATTATTTCAACTGCAGTCTTGTAAAATATATTAATAAAAATAATGATTGGTAAGAAGGAAAGCACCCTTGTCCACTTCTTTAGGGAATTCCTCTTTCACAGTTGAAAAATCAGTCTGTCCTATTGATTCTACCTCAAAATAAATCTTCAGATTAACTTCTCTTCCGCATGTCTTTCCTCGGTGGCCTAACATGTTGGTTAAGCCATTTTGGCTCTCAGGAAGAGATTCACACAGGCTGCCTTAGGAAAGAGAGCTTATTATAAGATAATACGTGGCCTGGAATTGGGGTGTTCCCAGGATTTGGAGCAGGTCAAGGGAACAGCCATCCTCAACTGCTCTCCGAATGACCTGCGTAGGCTTCTTTTGCTACAGTTTACCGCGCCCTCTCTGAATCACTGAAGAAGCTCATCTGGTCCCTATTATGTAAAACCTTTTTAATTAGGCTACCTT